AAGTTTACTTTTAATACTTGCTTTTGGGTTTTATCTTGAATTAATAATGCACTGGTACCAAATGCCAACCCTTCATCTTCATTAGGCTGGGGTAAAACAATATAATCAGGGTTAGGTGATTTTTTCTGAATAATTTGCTCTAACTCCTGTTGCTTTGCCCAGCTGTCTTGAGCACTTAATGTTTTCTGCTGTCTCTCCTCCAGACGACTTTGACGATGTTTAGCACTTTTCCCTAAAGTTTGTCCTTCAGGGATACTATTCATCATCATGTGATTGCTTTGCCTTCTACCCTGTATGTCATTATCTATTCTCTGAGGGTTTCTTGCGGGGTTTTCTACAGAGCTGGCCTTAAACTCGTGCCTTCCTATCTTTTCATGTGCAGGTTGCCTGCTACTACTAAGCAAGGTGTCACTACCACTGCTGGTGGCGCAATTTTTCACAGGCCCGTCATTATGGTAACCAGCGCCAAGTCCTACCTGTGACACTGTCCTCTCCAAGTTCTGTTGCCGTTGCCAGCCCTTAATTGCTGCTAGGGTGTTCTCCTCCCGCACAGATATTTGTTGCTTCCGCACAGCTGCACTCTTACCGACCCTGAGTCCATTGAAACCAAGGCTATTGGTGGTTGGATCATATCTACTCATTTTCCTTACAGTTGTGTTACCACAGCCTGAGATGACCAACACTATATGTCGATGAAAGAACAACAGATGTCATTCAGTTCAAGTGCATTCCTTGATCCTTCACACAGGATTTTTGCAGTATTCAGCAAGATATTTTTTATTGTGCCACGCAGTTGTAAACAAAGTAAGAATCTGCTGTCTCTAGCAATGCCCCAATTTGCTTTTAGTCAGGTGACTGGTCTTGAAATCCCAAGCATGTCACGAAGATCATAGTTCCAGGAAAAATATTAATTGTCAGCCTCAAATGCTCTGCACATTTTTTCTATGAATCTTGGCAAATGTGCACCAGTCCCTTTTGAGACATTCTTCCAACAACTAGCAACACTTGAACATTTCGTAGGTCATGCAGAAATCTCAGGGTGCTCAAGGCAGATGAAGATGTTACAAACAGATGTCTGGATCACAAAAGATGTGCCTCTTATCTGCAAATCTGACAAGAAGCATCTCTGTAGCTTAACAGAAACGTATATAAACAACACTGCTACGTTCCCGTTGTACGGTTGCCATTTCCACCAAGGTGTAACTGAACCAATATCGTAGTTTCCACTTGACCAAGGCAAATACTATTGATCGACTTTAAAAGCGGTAATTGCCTTTTCGTGTTTGCGCAGAAATGCTTTCCCTAATAGTTTTGGTACACAGCACTTAACTTGATGACGTGTGAGAAGGTAGGAGCTACTGCGTACCTGGAGAGAAAAAAGTCAACTTGGCAGTTACATATATAGTGGCTGATACCGCATGATACGGAATGTAATAATAATATATAAAGTAATAGCGTACTAATGATAACCCATGCAGAATGTTACAGGACAAAAAGAAAATATACGAACCTAAACGATTTTCCTCACGCTTGCCATGCTTGGTGGTACTATGCTTCACTTTTTATAGATACAGATAATGTTCCAGACCGTCAGATTCTCTAAAACTATATCTCTGCCCTCACAAGCAATGAATGGTAGGAATATGTTTAGACATGTGTGACCTGAACGGCCAAATCAAATGATTATTTTCCATTAGTATTTACCAAAATGACACACGTAGCATTCTAAGATTCTAGAGCCTTCCAATCTAAAAACTGTCTGTGTGGTCCTACTGGAATAATGACAAATGCGTCTGCAGTCACCACAGTGTGCTGTTGCTACTCTACTCTGTGGCAACCATTGATTCGAGCCAGATCAATGAGAGTTATAACCTAGCCACGTGCCATTGTGGTTTCGTCACTATAACTCCTAGCATAATTAGTGGGCCAAGCGCTGCAGTGAAAGAATGGTGCCACCAGTAGTGCATATAAAGTATGTGACTAAGCAACGGTGATAAAAATAACACTTTTTACTGCTAGCATAAAAACTACTCCAATATATACTTAAAACTGCTACGAACTCCTAGGAAAATACTTGCAGTTCTTTCCTCAAAATATTTGCTCTGTATCGGCATGCTCATAGAGCAGCATTTTAGCGTCAATTTCCAAGAACAAGAATCCTCAAGTTTGGTGCTTCCTGTGATAAGCTCAACCTCCTAATATTTGAGCTTGGATAGTGCTAGTATTTTACAACATGTGAAACAACATCAATCAATATTGTCCTTGCATCAGAATTGTACAATTATTAATTACATTATACTTGTATCACACAATGTAAATATTAAATAGGCACACTGTGGCATCCAGTGCAAATGGTTCATAGATTATTAAACAGTACATGTGGAATGAATTCAAGTGACAATAGCTCAAGATAGCGCATACCAAAGGCCTTATTCGCCTTTAAACCACTGTAAAGGTTATAGTAACCACTTGTAACATAAAATTGCAAATTCTCCTTCCCCATTGAATAAATGCAACTGTCAGAGTCCTACTTGGCAGGCTACTTTATTGTATGTAATTTCTAGCTTATATGGTCTCAGCATTTTTAGTAGTGTGAGTTAGGACATGCCACCTTAAAATAAATACCGACTATGTTAGGTCATTCATTCATATCTTAATAACTGTATAAAAAGAATAAACAAGTAAGATGGACTACCTATAAATAATACTTGTACCTTTTTTACTAAAAAGTCTAGGTATTCATTCTTTCTTTCTTCACGAAGTTTCGACTGCTTCTCATCATTTCCTCCAAGGGGCAGACCAATATGGGGTAGGGAATTGTGCCCTTGTGTGTTTCGATCCTTCATTGGTCTAGTGTCACACATACATGACCACAGTCACCGCACACATTCATTTCCCAAACCCTCTTATGAAGACTTGCATACAGGAGCCTGCTTCATTAATCCAATGGTGATCTTGAAACCAAAATTTTAAATAATGATTGGATTATGTTTACTTTTAACATTATAGTATATGATTCAATCAGTGAGAGTATGACTAGTACGATACTGTAAATCCCTACCCTCCAATGTTTTCACATTTTCTAGCAAAGTTATATAATATAATCCATTCTAATCTGATCCATTGGAAAATCCTAACCTAACTTGAAATTAAATTTAATCCCACAAATTTTTTAAGTCCCACAAGAATTAAGTTGAGTAAACGAAAATATTTAGTTATCATCTGCTGTATTAGTTGGTTGCAGTATAGGCTACCACAGAGTGTCACAAGTACTCACCTCGACTACATAATGCTTTGACTAAATAAAGTGGCCTAACTTGTCACTAAAGGCTGGATAAATATTTATCACCAACTCCCTTATTATCTGATAATCCAGGATAAGATAGCTGAGAATAAAACCTTATAACATCATAAAGATTAGTCTTCAAAGTTAACAGGACTACATTAAACATGGAGAGAGACTGTGGGTTGCAGTAGAAAAAACTTAAATTTTACAATTAACTAAATGTGAACTAAATTCCAATAGGCATATTATATGATTACAGAAACGAAGATCCTTTGAAGATGATACATGTCAAAAATATAAATGTGGAAGTATACGTGGATGGTACCAGGAGTAAATAATTACTCCTGATATTATAGATACAATATTGTAACCCAACACAACAGTGACCTATTCTCTAGCCACAAGTTACCTTCTCGCTTCTCACTACGTGGCGAGTAGCCCGACCAGGCTGTGTGACTAACGTCAATATACACAAATAGTGTATATATATACAATACAATAGGTCTTCTAACCCTAGCAAAGACCGTTTCTTGGAGCTACATGGCGAGAAGTCTACGACATAAAATGATCGTACAGCCTGGTCAGGCTACCTATTCTCAAGTTGGGTTACATTACTCTAGGTTATTCAGATATTTTTAGTTAAAATAGGTTAAAATTAAGTTACATAAAAAGTTTTATGGTTCAGTATTTATTAGGAATTTATTTTTTTAATGTTTAAAAACCGACGGCTATATCGTTGCTTACAATGACGGTGGCGCCACTGGCAGTGCATCCACTGAAAAAGTTGCACAAAGCAACGTATGTTTCGGCTGCAGGCTACAGACCAAGAGCGTTTCTTATTTATTAATTTAAGAGCAAAAGGATTGCACTATCTTCTAAATGATGCTTAGTTTCAGTTATAATATGAATGAAGTTGTTCTAAAATGAATATCGTTCGGTTTTAGCATTTAGGTATAAATATTATTGCACTTTTGTGATTAGCTCTTGATCTGTAATGCAGGGCCTAATCCTGGCCATTTTTCAAACCGAATACCGGCCGCCCAAATTACGACCCCCTAGCAAAACGCCCAAATTACAAAATTCATAAAATGCCCAAATTAGCAGAGCTCTGATGCAGATCTCCATGTTTCTATCATTATATATAGGCACTGTTTTATAATAAAATGCTCATATAAGATCTATAATCGATTATCTGAATAAAATGTGTCGACCAAACTCCCAATTTAATGTGATAGATAAGTATATATATATAATCTTTTAGGCTCGCTACACTCGCCACGGGTGCCCATATTAAGCAGGTAGATTACCCCGTGGTAACGTGCAAAATAAATTGGCAAATGCGCAACTTTTTCAGGGTGGCAGCACGATCGCGGGTGATGTCAGTGCCTAAAAATTAAAAATTTGGAAATTCATTGTTGTTTTATGACAAACGACACGTGAATGCGTAATTATAAAAATTTGTAGGTAGGTATATATGCCATGATTTATGAATCTACTATCATAATATACTCCTAAATTCTAGAGGAAAGTATCCCTTTAATTATAGCATGTTCTGATAGTTATAGTATACTAAACTACTACTAGTAGTATAGTATGGTAAGTAAATAGTATATATATATATATAGTTAAGTTATACTATACTAAGACATATAAGTTTTACTGGATCAAGGATAGTTTTGGGACCCCACAAATGTGTTTTTGCATATATGCTAAACTAATCTGGGGTGCTAAGCTAGGCTTGGGCCGTTATACTGCGGCGCGTAGGTATGAATTATTGAATACAATGTTGTAAAAGTGCAAGCATTTGCACAGACTCAAAGCGATTACGGTACTAATTACAACTCACAAGTAGGGGGCCTACTATTACTAAGTTCTTACTTACTAATACCACTGTCAGCAAGAACAAGTCCGCACCTTCAGCTACAGCACACACGCGGCCATTGACTATATATATAACAACGTTATAATATAAAACAAGTTGTTATATATAGTCAATGGCCGCGTGTGTGCTGTAGTAGTCCGAGCCGACGCAGACCCCAGTAAATAATGGTAATGATAAACCTGCACCCTCAGATTAGCAAAGCGGAGTTATAACGTCTGCATTTGCGGACTATAGCCGCAGCCGCTGCAGGTGCGGACTTGTTCTTGCTGCCAGTGACTAATACTAATAGTAATACTAATACTAATAGTAATACTAATAGTAATAATAATACTAATTACTATAATTACTAAGCGATATAGAGTACACAAACACAACACCTTTAGTAGTAAATGTCATTGGTATTTAGCTACTAGGCATATCTTTTTTCTTATATTATTCTGAGGCTAGTCTGTCACTTTGTGACTGTGAGTGTGAATGCGTCACTTGGAGAGCAAGTAGTTACTTCAGTGAAGTAGAATGGGAAGACAGTGGCCACTGACTGACTGAGTTCACAGGCCCTTGGAGGCTCAAGTTTCGAAAAATTATAAGTCTATATTAAGAGCGAAGCGGCCTGTGCAAGGGCCTGTGCTGAGTTACACTTAGACAGTACACTATAACGCCTGTAACGCATTCTACATCGCATGAACCGTTTACTAACGGGCATGTAAACGGGCATTATACTTACATATTGAATTATTTTAATTTAAATAGTAATATGATTCAATAGTACCTGGAGGCTGGATTTCTCCGCTAGTCAATGTTGTTGACATTCTGTCTTCAGATGCGACGGACGTTTGAACGTTTCTTTTTTGCAGCGACCTCTTCCGGGTGTTTCTGAGTTTCTAGTTAGTTCTAGTTTTTCTCACTACGTAGCAGCACTAACCGGTGCTCAGCTTTATAACATGATTGCATCACAGAAATAGAATAGAAGTTTCTATTATATTCTTCTATTCTATTTCTGTTCTATTCTGTTCTATTCTGTTCTATTTCTGTTCTATTCTATTCTTCTATTCTATTTCTGTGGATTGCATTTGCAGAGACAAGTCAAGTAGGCCGGCTATATAAATAAGAAATAAGCACAAAATGACATGGATAATGGCTCAAGGTCGTGTATATTTTACAATTGGCAATGAGCTGACGTGTACAACGTGTAATGGACAAAAGATTGAAGGAGAAGTTATAGCCTTCGACCAGCAGACAAACATGCTAGCTCTTAGTATCCTTTTCAGATGAGTCTGACTCTAAACACTAAGTAAAAGTAAAAGTAAAACAAAGTAAAGCAGTCTAAACAGAGGAATTGCTCCGACTTGTGATTGGAGGATAAAAATAGAATTCGTGACGTTTCGTTTTCATTTTGGCATTTAGCCTATAGGCGCGTTCACACGGACGTTTTTAGCCCGAGCCTAATTAGGCCTGCGCCAAATAAGTCAAATTTGGCTCGAGCCGAGCGTTCACATAGAGAAATCACACAAAGACTGACGAAATTCTTGCGTTTGCTCCCTTTGCCCAGTTTATGTAAATGGCTACAATTACAGGTCTATAGTAGACTGGTACTCGCTCCCACCTCGATTACTCGATGGGACCCATCGGGGAGGACCCATCGAGTAACTAAGCCGAGAGGTGGGAGCGAGTACCAGTCTAAGGGCTATAGGCGGCGCACTGCATTTTGGGAAACTACCACACTGCTTTCCAACTCCTGTACGAGCCTCACCATTGGAGCATTGTTAAAACGTTGCAGCGTTGCAGCGCAAGAATGAGGTCACAAAGAGCGCCGGTGGGTGTTTTCTGATTCTGGCAGCCATTTACATTTACTGGGCAAAGGGAGCGAACGCGAGAATTTCGTCAGTCTTTGTGTGATTTTGCGTGACACAGCTCGGTTACGAACAGAGACAGTATGTTTTTATAACAAGTGAACACTGTTGTTGAAATAGAAACAAAGATGGAGTAGAATGGTTGAATATTTGTGTTGTAATCAGTGTGCACAGTGCAGCCGCATGAGCAATGGCGATCGCCAGCGTATGTTGCACATAGGATTTGGACGGAATTTACAGGAAACTGTCGGCGATAATACTATTAATAGGTGAAAGAGAGTATAGAAACATTAAGAATTTGGTAGTAAATAGATTTCGTATTTATTTAGCATTATATTTTATTGAAAAGCTTCAAGTGCCTGTGACACGGACGGTTTTTTGGGGCTGTGCCGAGTTGCGAGTTACACGGCCAATTTTGTCGCAGTCCGAAAACGTCTGACGCAGTGCCCCGATGCCAAATTTTACGGCAACTGGTCAGCTACAATTTTGTAGGAGGGGCGGCTCAGATGCCGGCGAGTGTAACAGGAGTGTTGAACGTGTACTTCGACATAATTATAGAAGTTCTATTAAACATGTATATAAAAAATTCGAAAAATTATCAGGATGTGCATGTTTATCTAAAGAATTGATAATTGAACAAGGAACGGAAGTAAACACTGGAATCGTACTTACAACTGCCAATTCTCGCCGACATACCTGCCAAAAGTAGTAGATCTGGTGAGATATGTTGTGCCCAATTCAAGTTTTATTTGAATGTGTTGAATTTGAATTTGAGCAGAGCAGTGATTCACGTGGCCGTACGTGTGAACCTGCTTCGACTCAATTTAGCCTTGAGCCAAACCATTAGGGACCGTGCTGAACAGCCGGACATATGAGGCGGGAGGGTATCGAGCGATACCGCCGGCGCATACATATGTGCGTAGGAGTTAATTACAGGACTAAACCTCCGCCTTATTCAATAAACCTCAAGACTCACAGGGATCGATCATAGCTAAAGAGAAGACCATGAGTCTGACATGTGTCTATAATATCTAGAATTTATAGGCAATGCCCGTAAGCTGCGAATCGTGTCACGTGAGATGGGCAGGATAGGGCTGCGATAATGATAGTCGAGTACTACCTTCTCTTGATCGCTGGCGGCCGGAGGTAGCCGCGCGTGAATATTCAGGCCTATGAGTTCATTACCCAGGCAGTGGTCACTAGTTTGCTTAATAATTACGACTAATTGCGCGCTCAATAGACGTCAAAAGTTCACGGCAGAGATTAAGGCTAAGGCATGTGTCTATAATAGCCAGAATTATAGAGGAATGGTAATACTGGCAGCATCGTTCGCGCTTGCGGGGCGGGGGCGGGCTGGGCAAATTAGCTGGCATGATGAGTTAGGACCACTATTCCTAGCGCCGGGTCAGTGCAGCATACATAGCGTTTGCGACGGGGTAATGCGAAAACGAAACGTCACGCAAATTTTACTTTTTATCCTCGGAACAAAATTCACAGTCAGACAAGTTCCTGTTAACGCATGTACTTTTTCAGGCTTGTGTGTAGCGATTGCCATTGTTGTAACTTAGCCCAAAGCACCGATGACTATAGACGCTGTAAGTTGTAGACTACAGTTTACGGCGTCGTGAAATCATCGAGAAATGTTTCCA